CGGAAGAGGATTAAGCGAGGAGAGAGTGAGAGAGCTTCAGATTGGCGAAAATGGCGTTGCTTGTTGAGAAGACGTCGAGTGGTCGTGAGTACAAGGTCAAGGATATGTCTCAGGCCGACTTCGGTCGTCTCGAGATCGAGCTCGCCGAGGTGGAGATGCCTGGTCTCATGGCGTGCCGCACCGAGTTCGGTCCGTCGCAACCCTTCAAGGGCGCGAAGATCACCGGATCTCTCCACATGACGATCCAAACCGCCGTTCTCATCGAAACCCTGACAGCCCTCGGAGCCGAGGTCAGATGGTGCTCCTGCAACATCTTCTCCACTCAGGACCACGCTGCCGCAGCCATCGCTCGCGACTCCGCCGCTGTCTTCGCCTGGAAAGGCGAGACACTCCAGGAGTACTGGTGGTGCACCGAGAGGGCTCTCGATTGGGGTCCTGGTGGTGGTCCTGACCTCATCGTCGACGATGGCGGTGACGCCACTCTGTTGATCCACGAGGGCGTTAAGGCCGAGGAAATCTATGAGAAGACCGGCCAGGTTCCGGATCCGTCGTCCACTGACAACCCTGAGTTCCAGATCGTGTTGCAGATCATCAAGGACGGGCTCCAGGTCGACCCGAAGAAGTACCACAAGATGAAGGAGAGATTGGTCGGTGTCTCCGAGGAGACCACCACTGGTGTGAAGAGGCTTTACCAGATGCAGGCCAATGGATCTCTCTTGTTCCCTGCCATCAACGTCAATGACTCCGTCACCAAGAGCAAGGTATCAACCTCTGCATTTCGTTGCCACATTTCCGTTTTCCTAGATCCGTTCCTGGTTTGTTGATTAGGACCCAGATCTAGTTATGTCCCGTCGGAACCTTGAGCTAACTAGTTGAGGAAACATAGCTTCTCACATATGTTCATGATGTGATTGGATCAAGCGTCAGTCTTTCCCATGTTTGAATTATATATTCAAAATCCCCACATTGGAAAGAATTCACCAGCTTGCAATATCCATGTTTATGGGGAACTAAATGCTGAAACTTGTCAAATTGTTACCGAGATTTTGTCTTTCCTTCTGTGTTGAGTACCAGCCAACTATGTCTTGTGCACGTTTTTGATTATTAGATGGATCCATTTTTCTATGGTCTTACTCTTGTATGCTTTCCCTGCCCAGTTTGACAACTTGTACGGATGCCGCCACTCTCTCCCCGATGGTCTCATGAGGGCCACTGATGTCATGATTGCCGGAAAGGTCGGTGTTGTCTGTGGTTATGGAGATGTCGGAAAGGGCTGTGCTCTTGCCCTGAAGGCAGCTGGTGCACGTGTCATCGTTACCGAGATCGACCCCATCTGTGCCCTCCAGGCTCTCATGGAAGGTTTCCAGGTTCTAACCCTAGAGGACATCGTATCAGAGGCCGACATCTTTGTCACCACGACCGGAAACAAGGACATCATCATGGTCGACCACATGAGGAAGATGAAGAACAACGCAATCGTCTGCAACATCGGTCACTTTGACAACGAGATCGACATGCACGGTCTCGAGACCTTCCCGGGCGTGAAGCGGATCACCATCAAGCCCCAGACCGACAGGTGGGTCTTCCCCGACACTAACAGTGGGATCATCGTCTTGGCAGAGGGCCGGCTCATGAACTTGGGTTGCGCCACTGGTCACCCGAGTTTCGTGATGTCGTGCTCGTTCACCAACCAGGTGATTGCCCAGCTCGAGCTGTGGAAGGAGAAGGGAACAGGCAAGTACAAGAAGGAGGTGTACGTCCTGCCGAAGCACTTGGACGAGAAAGTGGCGGCGCTTCACCTTGGAAAGCTCGGGGCGAAGCTGACGAAGCTAAGCAAGGACCAAGCCGACTACATCAGCGTCCCCATCGACGGTCCGTACAAGCCACCTCACTACAGGTACTGAGAGAGAGAAAGAGGACGAACTGTTTTGTTGTTAGGATATATATGCAGGATGTGTCGGGTCGGGTCTTGTTTCGGTCGGGAGAGGTAAACTGTTATGGTTCTACTGATGAAGGAGACCATAACAGTGGAAATAAGGGATTTGAATTTGAGGCTCTGTCTCTCTGGTCTCGTTCATATTCTTCCTTTGTAATATTTGTTTTCTTTATTGAGATTGTTTTTCTATCTAGTTCTTGGATTTTTCAAATTACAATTCGGAATATCCATTGGATTAATATCATCAGATGGGTAATTTGCCAATTGGTCATTTGCATGTTGCCAAACGATCCAACGCTTTGATTTTGCTGATAGAAGACGAAGCTCCCTCCCTCTGTAAACCAGATTTCTCCATCTGAAGTTCTTGTTACTTTTCAAGACAGAGAGCCGAAGTCGAAGACTTTGAGCCGAGGCGACTGTTTACGAGTTTTCGTTCGCCCGTTCGCAGCTGACCCTTGTCTCGCTTCGCTCTCTCGCTATCTGAATCCATCTCTTCTCGATGATTTCACCCCCCTCCCCCCCTTCTCACTTGCCTTTGCCCGACACACTAACCCCGGGTATCCACCGGGTCCTGTGGTACCCAGAGCTCGGATATCCGACCTCCACGAGACCGAGAGCGGGTAATGTTGCCAAGGAAACCAGAAGGACGAGACTGAAGTGCAGAAACCAAGTACGGTTTCTGCTTATGAAAACAACAGAAATCGAAATGTATACAGACCAATCAAAATGCCAGTTTGAGCCCCCACCCCAGCCAGCCTGATGAACTAGTTCTCTATGGCCGGTAAATAACCGGGCAGAGCCTTAGATCTGCAGCCGTGACAATAAATTCTTCCCCTTTTACTTTAAATAAAGAAACCATGGGAAATGAAAAAACTTCTAATTTGGGTTTGACAAAGAACCCTAAACCCAACAATTTCCACAATTATCCATCAATCAGAAAGGTACTGTAGATAAAGATCTCTCTATCATTTTGGCACTGAAACCCAAATGGTTCCAAGCTACATAGAACCAACCATTATAGATCACACACACACACACATATCTATATATATATATATATAGATCAGAAAACCTTAATCATACAACAAAATGCAGAATTTACTTGCCCTTTTTTACTTCTGGATCCTGAACTCGGAGAGATATCCATCAAATCACCCTAAAAAAAGGGGGTAAAGAGAGAGAGAGGGAGAAATTTTCTTCAGGATCTGGTGTCGCTGGTGTCTCTAGCACACCTGGTAATGATCTCGCAGCCTTTGCTGTAAGAATTGGCTTGCCCTGAGCGACATTCGTAGTACGAGGCACCTGGTTTCTGACATGGGACCATGTCCCTCCTCAGGGTTCCGTAGCTTATGTACCGCCTCTGCATCGCCATCACTCTCCGGCTTATCTCCGACGGCAGCACCATCATCTCTTCATCCTCTTCCCCGGCCCCTTTCCGGCTCAGCATCGCCTCGATCTCGCCGCGTCTGCTCACCGGAGAAATCGTGACGGCGACGGAATCGGAGAAGTGGGTATGGAGGAGAAGTAGTGCAAAGCAAGCGAGAGAGACGGATTTCGACATTTCGCTGTCGGGATTCGGAGGGTTACGATCTGCGTGTTAGGTTTTGTGGAGTGGGAGTGAAGAAGAAAACGAAGTCGAAGCGAGGAAGTTGGTGAATCCGACTGTGTTGTGAGACAGTGACATTAATGCACCCACGCCGGTCCGGTCCGGTCCGGTTTTCGGATGACAGGGCAGTTATTTAGTAATTAAATGATAAGCGAGTTGGGGTATATAAGTTAATACATTGGTTAAATGGATGTTGTGTTACTGACTTTTGCTAATCTGAAGTTTTAAGTTGATCTGCAATAAAAAAAAAAATAAATGAGAAATTACTCATTAACACGAACTTTAAAAGTTCTAAATAAATATAAAGAATTCTTTTTTAACCCTTATATTAAACCCTAAGATTTTTAAAAACAATGAAATTAAATCATAAATTTTAAACAATTTTTAAAAACTGTTATAAAATTAAATTTTAAACTTTTAAATGATTCCCAAAAATTATGGGTGGTTTTGAAAACGGGTTAAAATGTTCCTTAAAAAAAAAACCCAAAATATCAAACATAAAATATCCAAACTGAGTACTCCGTTGTCTATTTTCCTTGGTGAAATCATATGATTAGAGAAGAATAATTATTTATCCCAAAGGACATTTGATCTGAGTTAGTGTGTTCGGCACATAAAAAGGATCAGCCATTGAAAAGTTGAAGAAACCCACCAACCCAACCACAAGTGCTCATTATTGCTTTAGCTGTTTTTCTTGACCAAACACATTTCACAGCAAAAATCCCACCAATTTCACCCAACACATGCAACTCTTTTTTCTAACACTATTCATTCATATATTCAAACCCCCATGAATCCTCTCCCCTCTTTCCCCATTCAGGTTTCTGCAATTTTATGTCTCTATTTCATTCTATTCAGCATCTCAAGTAAAGCTTTGGTTAAAAAAAAGGACATTCCCTGACCATGATTGCATGTTGAAGAAATAAAAGCTGCTTATTCATACAAATTGTATGCAAAAAAAGATAACTTTAGACCCTACCATAATCACCTCTACACCAATTACATGTATGAAGAAGGGAGAGGAAATACAACTTACTCTAGATTATGAGGAAGCCCTCCCTATCTGCTGGTTCCTACCCGACATTTCATTGGCTCTATTCATCGCGTTCCGCGTTTCATACAATGACCCATATGAATGGTAATTACCCGATTATACGTATAGTTCACATCGGAGAAAACAGACAATTATTCGACAGATATGATACACAGAGTAAAGATATGATACCTGTGGTTGGGGCCAGGATGAAGAATTCTAAAACTGTGGCTAACTAAAAAAGGAGCAAACAGGAGGTAGATCAAACCAGATTGCTCCGAAGAATCATTTTAAATCAGTATGAAGAAAATGAGCATGATGCCATCAAGCAAGACTGAAAAAAGCAGTGAAAGGATAGGGGTAAGGACAAGACCTTGAGAAGCTTGTTGGCTGATGTGTATGTACATCCTTTTGGATTCTTATAGGCTGAGATGCTCGTTACTCCTCGTATTTCGAGATATCATATGCCCTGTTCTACTTTCGTCTTGATCTTCGTATGGGTTTGCCCGATATGTGGAACTTGCTTCTTCATTATCTGAAGAGCCTGGCCTTTCTGTTAGGAATTGCTCCCAGAATACATCATTTACTCTAGCCGGAGGGGCTGCAACAGTTGCTTGGTTACCAGCTGCTGCCTCCTGTGCACTAATTTTCTTCTCGCTCGCATTTGATTCTCTTGAGTTGAAGTTAAATTCGGGATATCTTCCAACATCCTGACTTTTCTGAGTTGTCTTAGCTAGCTGTGGGGCTGTCTTCGCAGGTAATGGAGCAGATGCCAGGGTTAGGTTTAAATGGCATGAAAAGTTACCATCAGTTTCCTCCGAAGAAGTTAACCTCTGTGGCAAGGCTTCTGCTCTCGCGTTGTAATTTAACAGTAGTCCTCTTGGGCATGACCCAGTGTCCGCCAGCTCAGGTGCTTCAGGGGTAAACAATAGGCCTTCTGTTCTTGTTTGAGCACCTTTTGGATCTCCTCCTGAGAGTCTCCCCTTGGGATTCCCTCCATCTTCGTTGGAACTTTGTATACTATGTGATACCAAGTTCATATCTGAAACAGCAGGAGAGAGCTCTAATCGCAGTTTATTTGAGAAACTTTGGTGGAAGATACTCCCAAGCTCGGGTCTCGAGCTACTACTGCTATTATCCAAATGAGAAGTTTCTGACGGTGGCTTTGACTGCTCGGCTTGAGGGAGTTTTCGCCTTTTGTTGTAAGCTGAGATATCCAATTGCTCGACTCTACGGGCAAATTTTTCAACAAATACGGGATCTCGGACAGCCTTTTCCAAGACACTAATTAAATTCTCCTGCCTCTTCTCCATATCATCCACCTGATGTGTCAGCTCTTCCAACTGAAGCTTTGCGGTGGATTTCTTCTGTTTTGAATTCAAAAGCTTTTCTTCGATGGCAGCTTTTTCACGCGACAGATTATCTATTTCTTCTTCTAGCGCTGCTCTTTCTTGGTCTAATGTGGGAGTGGGTGGGTGACTATGGCTGTGAATAGGTTTTCTTCGGTGTATATTCTTCAGAAGATGCTTCTGTTCCTTCGCAAAACCTTCATTAGCAAACTCCCACCTCTCAGGATCAATCTTTCGGAATCCCTATCAACATATCACAACATGGCCTGCTTTTAACAAAACTTCTTGATTGAAGACAACAAAACATATAAGCCCGAGAATGGGGAAAGTTTTACAAACAGGATTCTGCATCTTATAAGGAAATTAGAACAGAGAAATCCAAAGCTGATTAATAATTTTACAGTTGAGAGTGTAGTATTGTAACTAAACGATAAAATATCCGTTAAATTTTGTGTCCTTGTGCAAGCCTCGTCATTTTCCCTTAACCTTGATATGATATTGTAGACAGAATTAAGCACTTAATGTACATTTCACTGCCTCTGATCCCCAGATGTCTCCTTTAATATTTTCTCAATCGTACCATTTTATAGAAAGAAGATGCAATTTACAACCCACAAGATGAACAGTTTCACCCATTTTCTTGTTCAATAGTACAATAATTCTGCTACAGAAGCATGATAAATCAAATGATATGAGAACTACAATCTCACTTTTCAACAAACGGCACATGCTACGATCAATTTGTCATAATGCAACCCCTTACGATGTGTTCTAATCCTTTTCTGCCTCGGAAAAATCCGGATCATACTACTAATTTATAACCTCAATTTCACAAAAGACAACAATTTTGTTCGAATACCCGAAACGCATTCGAAATCTGCCCACGCGAAACTGCAAAAATAAGGTTTTCGCGGAGCACAAATTCGAAGACTCACATAGGTATTGAGCTGACGAATGAAGGATGAGAAATTGTTGTGCTTGAAGTAGGTCGGAAGGAGGAGGCGAGCGAATTCCGGAGGATTCCAGACGACGAAGCTGTTCTTGTTGGCACTCCACGAACAGATCTCGTCCGTCGATGAATCATCCACCATGGTTAAAAAAAAGGACATTCCCTGACCATGATTGCATGTTGAAGAAATAAAAGCTGCTTATTCATACAAATTGTATGCAAAAAAAGATAACTTTAGACCCTACCATAATCCCCCCCCCCGCCGATACCGGAAGCAGAGGAGGAAGATATATCTCCGCCTTCCATCGATGGATCTCGGCGAGAAGGACGGCGATGATGAGAGGGAGAGAGAGAGGTTGAATTCGATCGTTAAGCTATTTTGGAGCTGGTAACTGGTAAGAAAGAGGGGAGGATTCTGTTCCGGTTTGGCTCTGAATGGATTCGGTTATCATTTTATTCCGGTTTTCCATTGGTTAAGAGAGATATTCGGTTTAGAACCGGATTTGTTGGTTTAGACTTTAGATGATGTTTCAATATCAACATACATCAACATCAACATCGATTTACCTTGGATGGATTTTGACATAACACAAATCACATAAATAATTAATTAGAATCAACATACATCAATATAAGATTTAATCTAAAAATATAATTATAAATCAAAACGCTTTTGATAAAGGAATTTTGTATAGGGGAAAAACCTAAAAATTTCTAAACTTGTAATTTTGGAGTAATATTAATTCCTAAACTTGTAAAGGTGTCTATTAATTTCCAAACTTGCTTGCAAAATTGAACACGTTATATCCTGAACTTGTTAAACGGTTTCATAATCGTCTATACCGTTATTTGGTCAAAAAAACGAGTTGACCGATCCGACGTGGTGCGTGACGTGGCGGTAATTTTTTGAGTTTGGCTCGCCACGTCACGATCCGACCTCCACGAGACCGAGAG